TCGGATTGAATGCCTGAATCTGGACGTGTTTGAGGACAGGAGAAGGAAATCGAGATAGAACTGCTTTTCTGTATCTCTGCATAAAACATAGCCAGATTCAGGATTTCTATCCTATCCCCTTCGCTAGTGGGACCTCGACCCTGAGAACAAAGTTGAATTGTACTGAGAAGAGATATCGATGAAAACAAGAAAAAAAAAAAAAAGCCCCTTTCCCAAAAAAAAAAAAAAAAAAAAAAAAAAAAAAAATCAAGCACCTGTGCACTACCATGTCAAGATTCACAAGAATGGCTGGCCGCGCCTATGCATGCATAAAAATAAACTGAACTTTTGCCTCAGGGTCACATCGAAATTCCTTACCAAATTTAAAATATAAAATAATTTAAATAAAGTTAAAAAGTTTTTTTTTTTTTTTTTTTGGCACGGTCGGGCAAGTGGCCCCGGGCCACTCTGGTGACCTAGCTGCGGAGTGAACGACTATTTTTTTTTACGACTAGTTTTAGGGCAGGAAGAGGCATTTACTGAGAGCCCTTTACTGCCTCAAGGCAGTTCACACTGCGGACAAGTGTCGAAGTACCTGACCACATATGCGACCAGGTTTGTTCCTGTTCAGGTGACCAGAGAATGATCTCACAGCCTACATCTTCACCCCTAACAGAGGAAAAACCCACCTCTCTCTGATTGGGGGACAAGCTCACACACACACACAAAAAAAAAAAAAAAAAACAGAGGCATCTCTCTGTAATAAAAAGAAGGTTCGAAAATGCTTGACAAGCTTGCTGTGGAAGACTGACAAATAAAAAAAAAAAGAAAAAAAAAAAGACAAACATGCAGATTGCTCAGACTGAAAACTGCACGTGTTATTACAGAGGAGAGGGGGGCAAGCATTTTGTTGGGAGTGACACCATACCAGAGTCAGTATCCCACGCCCGTTTTGCTACGGATACTTCTGTCATCCCAGACTTTGGGCCTCGGTCCACGAGTCACCAAAAGAGCAAAATGAGAATGAACCTTCTGCTAGGACCTGGAAAGATACACTACACTGCCAATATATATATATATATATTTTCCCTCTTGCACATGTGGTGAGCAGTGGCGCGACGCTCTTTGATCAACAGAATCAGCATAGCTTCAATGTCACTTCTACCCCGTCAAGGCCAGATGAGAAGTAAGATACGCACCTGAAACACAAAGCGATAGCTTCCCTCATTCACGGGGCCTACGAGCACGCTCTCAAGAACCTGGTCGTACTTCTCGTCTTCCGCCGAGCCAACGTAGATAAGCTTCCATTCCAGGTCTGCACGTCCACAAGAAACCCACGCATAGCATCAAACAGTCTCTCTCTCTCTC